CTCGCTCCTTGTCAACCCCTTCGGCTCGTTTATAACCCCTCATTTCGCTTAGGTCGCTGATTTCTTTTCTTTTCTTTTCTTTTCTTTTCTTTTCTTTTCTTTTCTTTCCCTGTCTGTCTGAGGTATATATATTCTATATTTCTGCGTGTATGATGCGGTGTACAATTATATAATAAAAAATAGTAGTAGTCCTAGCTCGATAATTAAGNCCCCTCTTCACTCGTGCATGCGGATATAAATAGAATAGCGACTCCGTTTTTCAAACGATCATCCTTGAAATCACCCTCAACTTGGGATTCGATGATATTCATCTCACCCTCATTCTCGAGTCGTGAATGATCAAAAAAAAGAAAGAAAAAAAAAGTGCTTCGAGTAACGTTTATTAGAATTATCTTTTCATTACCACCCCCGAATTCCGCGTGTCAATCCTGGAAAAATAAATATCTCGGTCTCGAGTTTTCTCTCTCTCTCTCTCTCTCCCTCTCTCTCTCTCTCTCTGTCTATATATATATATATCTCGATCGATGCACACGAAACGAAGGGTGAAACGGAAGCTCGACGACGAAATCACGACGTTGACGAGGTTCCCGTTAGCGCGGCGAGGCCGTGACGACGTCCGTCGATCGCGGCCGATCCACCAGTATCGTACGGTGGATCGTGGCGGCAGTGGAAAGGCGGTTCTCATCGCGCGCCGTTTCACTTGGGCACGCGATAGTAGCGCAACACCAGGTAGCCCAGGGTGCGGAATATGACGAGGAACGCCAGGAGGACGGCCGTGTTCGCCCACAGTGGAAGACCGGAACCCCTTGCGCCGCCCTGGCTCTCGAGGATCGCCGAAACAGGTATCGTCGTGGCGTTCCTGCATTCCTGGAACTTGCTTGGCTGCGAGCATCTGCGGGAATTATCACAAGGAGGACGTTGCCGTGTCGATAAGTTAGGAAATCGAAAATTTCTAAAAAATTCGCGACGCGATTTCTTGAAATCGTACACAGTTAGTCTTGAAAGTTAGGGTTAGGATCGAAAATTTCTAAAAAAATCGACGCGATTTCTTGAAATCGTACACAGTTAGTCTTGAAAGTTAGGGTTAGGATCGAATTGGGGAGGGAAAGTTTTTATCAAAAAATTCACAATGTGGTGTAGATTATTAAGCTTACGTGATCGGTTCGCCAACGCCGAATTCCAGGATTTGCATGTTCTGATAGGCGTAGTGCACCATACTCGCGTATCTTGCCCATGCCAACCACGGTGGGACAGCCGTCGCCAAATAACCGCCGAGCAATTGCGTGGCGAGCGTGTAAAGCGCGGACGCGGTTATGCTAACCTGCAGATCCAAACAGCATGCCCCAACGAAGAATCCCACGCTCTGCAACAAAAACAGACCGTTTTCGATTTGATTTTCTGACGATGATAATCAATTAATCGAGTTACATTCGAGACAATCGTTATTATTTTGCCAATCGAAGAAAATGAATATTGGAATCGTAGAACTTTGAATTTCGTTTCGCCATAATTGCATAAATTGTATAAATCGACGAGGATAGTTCTTCGATTAAATATTCGATGATATATCATTGGATAATAATATAGCGAAAGGTAGACGGAGGGAAGGTTGTTGTTCTCTTGTGTCATTTAAATTTGGTCGCGGTTGAACTTTAATCGGAAATCGACTCGATTTCGCGGCATTAAACACGGTCACGCGTTGTGAAACGCGCGAGTTACTCATTTCCGTCAATAGGTAGGTGGTTTTGAAAGTAAATCGTGGCCGCCTTTCATGTCACAACGCGACATGATTATAATACCGTGGCCCGTGGGTGGACAGTGTCGAGGGTTGGGTCGATCGTCGGAAACCGCGAAATTCCTGTTCCGTTTCCCTAAAGAAATTCGTCGCGATCGCGACACTCTTATTTCCAATTTTTAATTTCAGAAATTGAATTCAGATTTGTCTTAAGAGGAATTTATTCAATTAAATATCAATTATTTATATAATAAAGATCGATTAAATATAAATTGGCACGATAACAACTTCGTTTGTTTAACTGTAATTCTTTTATTATTAAATCAATCGAGAACTCGAACGCTTCTCGGCAAGAGGCGCGGCATATTACTTCATTGATTAATTTTCGAAATAAAAAAGAAGGGAGAGGGATCACCGTGCGCGTTTCAATCAGCGGAACCAGTTTATACCTTACAACCAAAAAAAAAAAAAAAAAAAAAAAAGAAAAGAAAAGAAAAGAAACCGCTCAAACGAAAAGAAATCTCGCGGATGGATGTCCTTGGAACCGAACCATTCTTTCGTTCGATCTTACCGACCGATCGAAAGGTAACTAGGGAGGAGGGGTGTACCTGTGCGACGATGGTGTTGAGTAAGAGAAACGCCAGCAGGGTGACAAAAACTGCCGGACTGTGGAAGCCCAACATCGGGTAACTGATGATATGGTAGACAGCGGGCAACGTGATCGTAAGCGGCAACTCGCCGACCATTTTCGCCAAGTAATAGGCCGAGAGCCGATACGATCCTGAAAGCCGCTCCTTGTTGATCACCTCGCGTTCCGGAGGAACTGGAACAAAAATTTCGTTTTTCTTTTAATTCGTCGATTTCGAAAGTGATTCACTTTCAAGTTTTTGATATTTTTGCCATCGAATCAATTGTATTGTACGTAAATGGTAAATGGCTTGATCGATTTGTTTGGGCGAAAGTTGGAACGACGAGGAGATATTTCGAAGCGTGGAAGAGGTTTCGATTTTTATATCGATTGTTGGTTGGAAACGATTCTTCGAGTAAGCAGAGATCAAAGGGGGTATTTTCTTCTCTGTCGTCTCTCTCTCTCGAGGCTATGAAAGGATACATTCATGATACACACGAATATTAGACCTTGATACACGAATGTATCGACGTTCGCAGTTTAATTGCCGGTTGAAGAGGCTAAACGAAGTATCGTAAGAGAAGGGATTAAAGTATTATAAATATCGAGGTAATTATCATCGTTGAAAATCGAAACCCTCCAT